ATGGACCAATAATTCTCAAATGAGATACCAGTATCATCAAAGTGAAAGAGTACATATACTTTCTACTGTATGTTAGAGTGCCTGTGGCTGACCTGGCATGTGTGTGATGTGGGTGACAGGTTTAAACATACCTTCTGTACAATATCTCGGTGCCCATGACTGGCTGCTAGGTGCAGGGGGGTGTCATCTCCACGGTTCATGACATTAATCCGTGCTCCCCGCATGATAAGCATCTCAACCACAGCAGAGCGGCCTTCTCGGCAGGCCCAGTGTAAGGGGGAGAAGCCATGATCATCCCTTTAAGGAAAGGACAGTGGTCATTAAACTGGAGATGGGATGGGGCAAAGGCTTTGATTGATGAAAAGTTGACCGTAACTGCATACTCTCGGAAGGCTTACCTCTCGGACTCATTCATGCCAGCAACTCCCAAAGCTGTTCAAGTCAGACCTTCCCCTGAGCTTCAGACTACCTACCTAGATATCCCAACTAATAAAATTCATTGTCTTCCCCTCTGTCTCCCATATATCTTCCTCCCTGGCATGCCCTATTTCATTGGGTGATAGCATTCTTCATTTGGTTTCCCTAGCATCCCTTTTGCACCTACATTTATTGGTCCTTTCTGTTTCACTTCATATAGCCTTCCACTGTATCTCTTGTGCTGGATGGTAAAGATCTGTTAATGGGCTGTCCTGTTTGTTAGACTCAACTTCCTGAGAGAAGGAGGGACAGCAGGTGTTCAGTTAATGTCAGTGGGGAAAATGAGGGCCACAACACATGGGACAGGGAGCAAGCTAAGTATTTGACTCTGGTACAGAAACTAACATCTAAAAATGGGATAGAATTAAAATGACATTTTGGAAGGAAATAATGAAAAGGAAGAACTTTTGGTACTGATGAGGCAGCTAACACACTGCACAAAACAGGATTCCCCACCTAGGAATGCCTAGAACAGAAAAAAAATGAGAATGGCTGCTTTAGAGTGAAAATTATACTTAACTTTTTGTTGTACCCAAGAGCTTATATTTTATTCAGCAAAAGAAGAGTACTACAAACAATTGTGTGGGAGCTGGGCCTGCCTGACAGCCTGGGGCCATAAAAGGAAATTCCCTCTAGTGTGGGGCAGCAGATCCAAGGGGCGGAGCAAGGGGCGGTTCATGGTCTGGGCGGGCAGCCTCCGGATGCCTTAGTGCTGTGGTCACTTCCCGTGTGGGGGCCTTAGGCTGAGCCTGGAGCTCATTTGGGGTCTAGTCACCCTCAAGCCAAGGGGGTAGGGTGTGAGGGCTTTAACTTAATCATTTCCCTCCACAGCCTACCCTCATCTACTCACACAGAAATAACCAAAAGCTTTCACCAGAGGTGGGTATCTGCCGGAAGCAATTACACCCTCTACAGCCTCCTAGACCTTTAATTCATGCTCTTGACTTATCAGCCTCCAGCAGCCTGTGGCTCTGAAGCAGGCCAAAGCCTGGAGTCAAAAGTGTGGATATAGTGGTTCTGCCTACTGTTAAGATTTTCACTTCATGGCCTAGACTTTAATCCCAAGGGGGTCTTCAGTGAACTAACCCCCTGTTCATATCGGGCATATAGCCAGTTGGCATGCCCTATCCCCTTAAACCAGCACCAAAACCTTCCAGTTCCAGTAACGCCATCCCTTTGCCTTCTGGCAGTGAAGAGCCTTCCTATAATAGATGCCAAGCTCACTGGACAGCTTTTCCTAAACCTCTAGTTTCTCACCAACAAAAATAGTATTCACTGTCTTAATCAGAGAACCCGTTAAGAATTATATAAAAATGAAAAAATAGCATGGGACCAGCAGTTAGCGTAATGGTATATTGCTGAACTTTCATGTAGTTGACCATGGTTCAAGTCCTGGACCCAGTGGCTTAAACTCATGCTGGGCATGTGTGCATGTGTGCCTAAGATCCCGAGAGGAGAATGAAGGAGAAGGGATTGCGGTGTGGCCATCCCCCCTGGGGGGTGATTTCTCGCTTTCTGTCACCGTGTCTCTCTCTCCCTTTCTGGAGAGCACACGTGCCCTGTAGCAAAAATCTCTCCAAAAAAAAAAAATAGTATCAATAAAACCAAATGGTAACCAGTGAAGCCTGAACTAAGATGTTAGAAGATTCTGACCTCTCAAACCTAGAAACTAAACTTCCAATCTTAAAACAATTATAAAAATTCAAACCCATCACCCTGGGGCCATCTGGTAGTGTGGTTATAGCAGCTGGATTCCACATGGCTAATGGTGTAGTTTTCGAGTCCTATACCCAGCAGGTTGGAAAAAACACTCTAGGTGTGTGTGCACATGTGCCCAAAATCCTGAAAGGAGGGATAAATAAAGGAGAAGGGATTTCAGCGTGATCATTCCTCGTGCAGGGATTGAGGATTGCTTTCTCACTTTCCCTTTCTCTATCTATACCAAGTACACATGCCCTCTGACAAATTATAAAACAACAACAAAAAACACTACCATCCTGAATCACCATTACTACTGCTTTTCTTGTCTTCTTATCTCAGTCTTTAAGAACTTATTTAAATTTACTTTCTCTAGTTCAATTCCCAGTCACTTTTCAATCGCTACAAGTCTGCCTTGAAAGTAGACATTGTGTCTGGCTCTGAGACTCTAGTGATCAGCACAGAAGAATTCCTTAAATAAAGGAACAGAGTGTGTGGGAACCAGCAGTTAGCGTAATGGCTATGTCGCTGGACTCCCACGTAGTCGACCGCGGTTTGCGTCCCGGACCCGGTGGCTTAAAACTCACGCCGGGCACGTGTGCATGCGTTCCCAAAATCCCGAGAGGAGAATACAGGAGAAGGGATTGCGGTGTGGCCATCCCCCCTGGGGGGTGATTTCTCGCTTTCTGTCTCTATGTCTCTCTCTGTCTGTCTGGCAAGTGCACACACCCTATAGCGAAAATCTCTCCAAAAGAAAAAAAAAGGAACACAGTGTGATCTGGTTTCTCCACCTGTTATTCCCCTGAAACTATACAGAGATCATCAAACAGATCCTAACTGTAAACTCAATGGCTACTTTAAAGTGCTCATGTTCTTTGACCTGTAACACTGTTGGTCCCTCTCCCTTTATTAAAACATTCTCTTCTCTAAGCTTTACTCACAACTTTCCTACTTATTTAACTTCTGGTTGCTCTATTTGGTCTCAGAGACTTCTCATCTGTTGCTCTTGTCTTCCGCTCTTGAGGTGCACTCAGTCATACTCTGTCTTAAGATACCATCTATATGCTAGCATCTCCCAAATCTGTGTCCCGAGTCACATTTCTCTCCTGCATTCAAAATCTTCATTGAATAACTTACTGTATGTTTCCACCTTGCTGCGTTATCACCTTAATTTAACTCAACCAGAATAGAGCACCTTCTCTAGTTTTCTTTTTTTTTTTTGGAGAGGTGCGTGCGCTCACCAGACAGACAGAGAGAGAGACAGAAAGCGAGAAATCACCCCCCAGGGGGGATGGCCATGCCACAATCCCTTCTCCATTCTCCTCTCAGGATCTTGGGCATGCATGCACAAGCGCCCTGTGTGAGTTTTAAGCCACCAGGTCCAGGACACAAACCGCGGTCGACTACGTGGGAGTCCAGCGACACAGTCATTATGCTAACTGCTGGTTCCCACCTTCTCTAGTTTTCTCACTCTCAGTAAACGCAACCATCATCTACCCCCAGTGCCCAGGTCAGAACCCTGGTGATCACCTTTGACCTTCCTCATTCCCCACACCAAGTTCCACTCTTGGTCCTAAAGATTTCTGGAATCTGAGCACGTCTTCTTTCACACACACACATCCATTCTAGTCCAAGACATCACTTCTAGAATGGACTAAGTATTGCCTCCTTTCCACCTATCACCATCAGAGATGATATTTAGCAAATGACTATCATATGACTACATGGTTTTAAAACCTTGCTCTTTGAGTACAGACTTCACTGTAGCCTAAATGTGTTTGCATGATCTGGCCGACCTCTTCAGCCTAATCTGCAGTTTTGCACTTGCACCCAATGCTTCAGCTCACAGATCTCCTGTCCTCCAGCCATACGGAACTCCAATTTCCTGACACTCTACGCTCTGTGGCTTTCCTCCCAGCCTTTGCCCTGTAGTTCACTGAAGCCTGAGGTCTTATTCAGACACATCCAGCTCAACACTGCTTCCTCTGTGGGGACCCTCTGCCTCCCTCAGTGCTCTTCAAGCACCACGGCAAAGTCCGGCCGCCCCACCAGATGTGAGCACCCCACGTAGTGGACAGGAGCAGAGCCCTGGCCTTCGCTCACCCCCCAGCCGCTTCTGCTCACCCCTGGTTGAGGTCGTTCTCCGTGTTGTCTAGCCACAGGCGCACGGCCACCGCGTTGCCCTCCCGGCACTGAGTGAAAATGTCGTCCATAGCAGCGTCCCGGCGCAGAGTCCCCTGGACTGGGGAAATCTGGGGACTGTGGAGGAGGACCCAGTGAAGGGGAATGAGCCCCAAGCTCTGTCCCCTACAGAAGAGGTGTTGGAAGTAGGGGGTAGGAGTCTGGGCGTTGCATCCCGGACTAGTGGGGGATCTGCGAAAGAGTTCAGGCAGGAGGATGATCCAATACTGAGTCCCCTGGGCGCGAGGGAGAAGAGAGTCGGGGCGGGGTAGAAGGTGACTAATCACACTATCTCCTGAACCGATGTCACTGGGCTGACCGAGACCCTAATCGCACACAAGCTGGGGAGGGGGTATCAGACTCCGGATACCCTGGGGGTGAAGTCCCAAGGGTCCTTCCCCGGGGTAGCCCCGTTCCCTACGCGGAACTCAGGCAGAGTGACGGGTTGACAGGGTCCCAGTCTTGGGGTAGGGGAGCGGGTCCTCCCGCACTCACCGGGACTCTGGCTGCAGGCGCCTTCTCCGGGGAACTCCCGTCCGGCCGCGCCCGCCGCCCGGCCCCGCCCCGCCCCTGGCCCTCTCGGGCCAGCGCGGGCCGCCTTCCCTCCCTTCCTACCGCCTCCCTGCCCTTCTAGCCCCCGAGGCGCTGAACTCGATGGTTTTCCGCGCCGCGCCGGCCGCTCTAGCCGCGCGTGGCTTCACGCTCTGGTTTCCGGCTCCGTTCTGGCTGGGATTCACAGGGTCGGCTGGAGACACGCTGGGCACGTGGAGGGCAGGTTTTGCTCGGGGACCCTGATCTCCACGCCCGCATGTTCGAAGAGCCTGAGTGGGCCGAGGCGGGCCCAGTAGCCGCGGGCCTCAGGCCCGTAAGCTCACGGCCTCGGTCGGTGGCATCCTCCCAAATCAAGGTGAGCGAACCCACAACAGCAATGGTTCAGTTTCAGGTTTCGAGTCTGACCCTGGTGGATCCCACTGCTGAGGCACACACGGGCGGAGGGAGGGCGCCTGTAGCATTGTTGAGGCAAGTCCTGATCTAGAGGTCCGGGAAAGCCCAAAGAAAATGACGTTAGAATCAGGTGGTTGGTGAGTAGAAGTGAATGGATTGACGAGAGTAAGAGTGGGTGAAGTGAAGGCTTGTCATTGTTACTGTTTGGGGGGGGGGGGGGGGGGGGGGGGGAAACAGCCAA